GACTTTACCGAAAGAACCAAGAATATATATATATAACCTTGTTGTAACTGCTCTCTCGCTGGTTCAGCAGTTTCACTGCTGGATTATATTTTTCCGCCTGAGGTCGACCGCCTGTGTTGCGATCGAAACGTCGCGATTTATTTTTACCGAAAGAATCAAAGAGTAATTATTTTGAACGTAAACTTCCCGTGACGTCATTACGTTGTGACGTCATCTTGCGTTACAGGTGTGCGTGGCGTTTTCGCGCAGGGCACTCATGCAAATGAGACTTCTGGATCTTGGGCCCTTGAGTTCTCACCGGGTTAAATTAAATAACCTTGAAAATGGATACACATTCCTAATGTGGGTCAAGGAAACATTAAGTTCCAATCACATATGCATGGTTCTTTCGGTAAAGTCAAAGAGAAGGGAAATAATAAAGTAATAATATTATAATAAAAATGTTTTCTTATTTTATTATTTCCCTTCCACGTACAAGGGAAATAATAAAATAATATAATTATAATTAAATAATAATCTCTTTTTTTTCCCTTCTACGTGACTTTACCGAAAGAACCAAGAATATGAATCCCTGCAGTCACGAAAGCTTTAAATCAAAATTCTAATCACATGTCAAAAATGCCCCGACGTTGGCATTTTTACTGCGTTGATGGCGTCACACCGAGTTTGGTTGATGACTTGCGTGATGACGTCATGGGCAATGACGGGGGGGGGGCTCTCTTACACTAGCTAGTCGTCATGTCTTTGCTTATGCGCTATTACGTCATATTCCATTCGAGCTCGTCCAAAGCGAAGACGTCGTAACGTCATGACGTCAAGAATGCGCGTGGTGTCACAACGCAGAGGTCGTTGACGCGAGCGCCCCCGACGGTTTTATTGCTAAACTTCCCGTTAATTCTAATTGCTCGTTAAAAAAAAACACTAACATATTTTATACACGATATAATGCGGAATTCTAATATTTTTGAATTAAAGAAAAAAACAACATCGTGTACAAAATTATGTGATTTAAATTTTGATTAATTTGAGATAATCAAATAATAAAAATAAAACAATACAATTCTGACGACGTTTTATTGTTTATTTGTATTATTTTATTATTTCCTTTTTACGTGCCTTTACCGAAAGAACCAATAATATGAATCCCTGCAGTCACGAAAGCTTTAAATCTAAATTTGTTATAATCGTTAAATTGTACTTAATGCAGTACTTCAATCACAATATGTATTGTGATTAATATGAGTGAGTGTACACATACTCTTAGGTTTTTTCGGTAAAGTCACGTAGGTAAAATAAATAGTAATGAATAATATAAATAATAATATAAATAAAATAATATTATGTACGCATGTTGCGAACGTATTACGAGTCTAAAAACTATATCCACACAAAAAAGTTCTAAAATTTTCAAGGATGTAAATTTAGCTTGAGACTTATAATTGGGATTACGTTAAATGGATTACACTCAGCAAATATGGAACGTTGGGCCAATAGTTCGATGATTCTATAATTACCTTACTCGATAATTACCTGCAAATTACACAAAGCAGCAATCATTGCCCCCCTACTGCGAAAACGTGCCAGGAGCCTTCTGAAACTGAGTCTCATGAAGCTCAGAATAAGAATGTTTATTTATACTGCAGGAATCCGATGAGCTCTAAAGCTCTTTTTGACAGATGCCCAGTCGGGGCAGGTTAGAACGTTACAACAATAAACAATGCAAAAACACGATAGGAGTGTAAAGTATAGGAAATGTAAACAAATAACCTTAAAAAATACAAATAAAACGAAAGTTTGTTTTCTTACCAGGTAAAGACCATTGAGATATTAGCTTCTTTTTCAGACGCGACCTGGCCACAAATGATAGCTCAACAAAGTTGCTTATCGTGTGGAAATGTATCGCTGCAAAATAATCGCTAAACAAGAACAGTTATCTTCTTGCGTATGAAAATGTTTAGATGTCAACAACAATGTCTGGTGTCGTCTTGCTATTCCTCCTCCGCAGTGCACCTGAGTGATTGTTGTTGTTGCTACTTCGTTGACTCCTGCGGTTTTAACTTCGTTGACTCCTGGTACACAGCCTGGGTTGTTACGGCCACAATCACACTAAATTTTCCATTCGTGAGCACGGTAACAAAATAATGGACAATTATAAAATGTATAACATTTCAACCGCCAGTAAATGTAATAATTTATATTGTCCCCTCCGCTTCTACGGAGTGTGGACCATCGGGGTAAACCGGCATTGCTAAGCAACACTGCACGTGAAGCACCACGTGGAGTTCTGGGTTGCGTAATTCTCGCGTGGCTTTGCTATGGCTCATGTGGATGTAGATTGTAGAGCAACAACAAGACTTATTTTTTTTTACAACGAGGGGTGATTCAGCCAGACGAATGCGTCAGGACTTGGCGGAGTGGTGCATTGCTGCGATGATGCCTCCTTCGTTTTTGTTGTGTGTGAGTCGTGTGGTACTGCTTATGGATTATTGGATACTGTTGAGCGACCATTGCAGATTATTTGGTTGTACAGGGTGCTCCAGATGTCTTGTGACCACAATTTTAATATCTAAGCTGTAATGTTTGTGTACCAATTAATGTATAATGTAATATTAGCGATATAACATTTAAAAATAAATGTTGGGGTCAATTCATTGGGGGTCACTAAACGTCTGGACTACCCTGTAGGTGGTTTAGACATGCAATTGCACTGCAAACGCGATTAATGACAAAAAGGAAAACATTATTTTGGTGATGCTGCGTTGCCACTGGTGCACAAACACAATTAACCACATTCGTTCATAATGTTGTGCCACGAATATAAAAATAGACGTTTAGGTAATGCCCCTTTTCTTAATAAATCATTACACTCAATGTGAATTTTACGTGCTATAAAGAAGAGCAATTTCCCGAATCGTCACCTCTTATGTATTTATTTTTTTGTGTTATTAACCCACGTGTTGAGTTTTTTTTCTTCATGACAAAAATTACTAATTTAACATTGCAAATAAACAATACTAGACCTGGCATTGGCCAAACATCCCAATGTACAGCAGGACTCTCCTGAAAAGGGCCTTGAGACTTAGTGAGGCTGTCCTGGATAAATGGTATAATTTGGACCTACCATCAGTGTCAGCCATAATCCACTGCTGGATGAAGGCCATCCCTGACGCTCCTGTTAATCAACAACATACCAAGGTCTTGCATAATACAGTGGTCTTTATATATAAAACCCCAGTGGGTCAGGCTGACACTCTAACGATTACTGGGGTACAGTACCGAGTACATCCCCCGAGTTAACGTGATGGAGGTGAATGGGTTTGTGTTCACTCCTACAGCATGTTTAATCCATGTGCCTGGATGTCTTCCCTCCAGTGGGGTACATAGCTGCCAAGTCAAAAACAATGACTTCTTGAGCTCCTGGCGGATTGAATGCCAAATTCCTAACATTCATTCATTCTGATCGCTGTTTTGGAAGTCAGTAATATATCAGCCTAACTACAACTATTATGTTTTATTTTGATTATTTTTCTTATTTTATTATTTCCCTTCTACGTGACTTTACCGAAAGAACCAAGAAGATGAATCCCTGCAGTCAGGAAAGCTTTAAATCGAAATACAACTGCACAATCAAAACGTTCTACGGGAGCCCTGTACATCGTCTGGACAGCGTGGAAGAGAAGGCCAAAACACCCTTCCGCCAGCAGGGCGTTAGCAAGTAACTGCAGGACTGCACCTTTACGTTTTGATATGCATCGACAGCCCTTTTGTTATTGTCTTGCACGTTGTGATGCGTGGTGGAGCGATTCCCATTGTCGTGAGCTATAAGAATAGATTTTAATGGATGGACCCGATACAGCCTTGGTCTACATAGCCAAGATAACCAGATACGATATTAAATGTCACAATATAACGATTATCGCCAATGTCAGTTTCCCTTGACTTTGCAGTTGCATTTGACGTTATCAGGCGATAGCTGATGCAGCTAGTTGTAATTACCGGTGAAACGTCGTACTCAGATTGTAAATGTTGTGACTTTGCTCTCCAACACACCGGTGTGCTGTACTAGTAACGAATTGCCACGTTCTGTTTACGTAACAAACCTAATTGGCTGTGTCGGGTGGTGGCGGGTTTAACGACACATTTATATATTTACGCCATCTAACCCCCCCCCCCCAAAAAAAAAAACCTGTATTATGAATTTGTTAATTCACATATATTTGATCAGCAAATATATATGTATTTGTTTTTTTTTGTTAAACGAGCAACGATAATTACGATGGAACGATGATGCGCCGAAACGGACGATACGATAATCGATTATCCTTGACATCGTAGTATCGTCGTGTGGAGGAACGACCCTAACAGAGTCCTGTATCAGTGTCTTCAGAGACCCCCCCCCCACACGGTATAAACCCTCAAACACCAACAACAAAGACCAAACGTTCACTGTTACATTGCTTTTATGGCTTTATTTTGGTGATTTTTGAAAAGTTTTTCGGTTTGGCCATGTTTGTTTGTTGTAGTACGGAGTTAGACTGATGGCCTTAATCTAAGTTGTCTTGTGGTTGTTGTTTGACTTGCATACCACTGGGATTTTTGCACACAGCCTTGGTGTACGGTGCTTTTTGTGGAATATTTTCCTGTCTTTTCCTGGATTTTCTGTTTGCACATGGTCACTTGAAGATGTTTTCTTGTTCATGTTTTTGTTTCATGTTTTAGTTTTTTGTTTGTTGCGGTTGCACCCAATTCAAGAGCGGAATGGCTCACAGGGCCATACCAAATACATGAAACTTAAAACTGAAAAAAAAAAATTTCAATCTTCTCGCTTCTTTCGGTAAAGTCACGTAGAAGGGAAATAATAAAATAATACAAATAAAACATAATAAACAACATTCTTGCTCCCCCACGCAGGCACTTCGCGCGAGCGCCACGGACACCCTCTGACCTCGTGCTCACGGTGGGGGTGGGGTAGGGGTAGGGGGGGGGTAGGGGGTGGGGGCGGGGCTGTGTGTGTGGGGGGGGGGCCACGGAGGAGTGACGTCACCACCGCCATATTGGCTACCAGGAGGAGGCCGCGTTGGAGGCGAGGCGGATCTCTGAGCCGGGCAGCCCGCAGCGCGACATGGAACCCGAGGCCTTGCTGGAGGCCATAGCAGGCGAGTGTTGCGCGTGAGACTGTGTGTAGCTGTGTGTGTAAGTGTGTAGCTGTGTGTGTGTGTGTGAGAGAGTGGAGCGGTGGCGCAGCGGTTAGCGCAATGCGCTACTAACCCGGCGTCCCGAGTTCGAATTTGCTCCCAAAAACGGCGGCTCGCGTTTATCGACGAGCGATGTTCTGGCTGGGCCGTGTCCCTCCAGTTTCGAGCCGGCATTACATGAGGTGTACAGCAGCTGGTGGCGTGTGCGAACATCAGCGCTTGGGGAGACAAAGGCGGCCGGGCGTGGTCCAAGTCCACACCATCTCCGTCGTGCGCCGGACTGTGTAATCGGTGCTCGCCGACATCAACTTCGCCACCGACCAACTTGCCGACGACTATCGCCGCTCGTCTTTGTGTGTCCGTCAGACCCATTTTTATTTGTTTGTTCCTTTCTCCGTGTGTGCCGCGTGAGCCGTCGCGTTCGCGTGGAGAGTGCGCACGGGTTGGGTGTAGTTTGCGTGCTTTTGTTAAAGTGCGTACGCGCTTGTGTTCGTGTTGTTTTGCGGTGTGGGCAGAATTTGAGAAGAAGCCGAACAAGGAGGTGACGCCCGAGCTGGATGGGTTCATGCGGCACGTAGCCAAGACGGGCGAGACCATGTGAGTCGGCATGGGCGGCCCGGCTCAGGCAGTGTTGAGGGGGGTGGAGGTCCCTGGGGCATTGAGGCCTCGGAGTTGAGGCCCCCTGGGGGGGGGGGGGTTAAGGCCTCCGGGTTGAGTCCCCTGGGGCATTGAGGCCTCGGGGTTGAGGACCCTGGGGCATTGAGGCCTCGGGGTTGAGGCCCCTGGGGCATTGAGGCCTCGGGGTTGAGGCCCCCTGGGGCATTGAGGCCTCGGGGTTGAGGCCGAGCTCTCCCGGTGGCTTTAAAGCCGGAGTTGGGGCTGGGCTGAGGCCGCAGTTGAATTGGATCCGAAGCAGAGTTTTTGGTTCGAGCTGGGAATTGGGTTGATGTTGAGGCCCATTTGGGGTTGAGGTTGGTACTGATTTTCGGTGGTAGCGAATGCCGAGTTCGGATTTGGGGGGATAGGTTTGGTTCTATTGTTCAAGTCGGGGCGAGTGAGGCTTTTGTTGGTGTTCAAACCAACGTTGATGATTGCGTTTTATCAGGTTTGCGGCTGGCGGTTGCATCAGAGTTGGAGGGAGGGTGGTGGGGTGCTCCGTTTGGATTGGTGTCGTAGTGGGGACCCGTATGGTCGTTTACCCCCTAACCCCACACCCACCCCCTCGCCACATTTTCACTCCTTCGGTGCACAACTTGCCGGGTATGGGATCGCGGAGAGAGGGGAAGGCGTCTTGCTACGATTCTACCGTATCACACGGCCAAGTGAAGTAAAAACTCCGGTTGATTGTGATACGTTAATGACGGCAAAGAACAGCACAATAACAGTCAACAGCGTTATCAAACACCCTGTCCACGACAGCTGCATCAATATTTGCGTTGTGGACCTGGCAGAAGAAGCTGTCCGAAGATGGCTGTCTAATTATTAGTACAGTGGCTTGCATTAAATGAAAGATCACATTAATTGAATAATTAAAAAAAGCTAAATATTTAACTTGATGCTTTTAATAGCCTCAAACACCCACCCCTGTGACAACACGAGGCTGCCTTATAGCCTTTGCCAACCTTTGTATCCTTTCCCATTGGGTGGAACCCCATTGCGACTTCCTGTAAGGTGAAGTTTTTGCATGAGTTACGATGTTGCGTTTTCAAAAAAAGACACGCACCTTCCCGGAGTGCACATTATACTTTATTAAAACGTAAGCTTCTGGCGGGCGTCGATTACGTAATGGTAGGTTAAGCGCCATTGGGTCGGGATTGAGCCGAGCATACCATGGTGGGCTGTGAGGCTTGCTGGTTTTAATTTACGTTGAGCATATCCAATTTGTAATTGTTTCAATTTGTACACGCCCTACCTTGCATAAATACACAACGTTAATGTTGGTTGTGCTTACTCTGTGGTGCGGTGATTGGTGACCAGTAGCACTGAGCTGCAGCTACCTACACTCAAGTATTGTTGGCTTACTGGAGACTGATTTGAAACCAGGAGGTGAGATACTCTTTAAGAACAGACCTTGGGGTTCGGGTGGCGGTAACTTTGCAGCAACTGATGTAGCTATCGGACAGAAGTGATGGTGATGTGTGGTGGCATCATTGGAATTGGCTGTGATGACCTCCTAACCTTATCGGATTGTTTTTGGTGTGCTATGTAAAAAACCTTTTTGTCTGTTTAGCGAGCTCGCAGATTGGCATACAACTCTATGTGCCTATACAGGGACGGTTAATAATTATTGAAACTGTATAAAATATTAGCTTTTAATATGAAGTACGAGAAATTACACGTGAATTAAATTCAAAATTATCGGGTTCTCTGTGTTATCGTCAATGGATACGTTACATTTGACACGGCAATGTTGTCTAAAGTAGGATATTTTTACGGGACGTACAACGTTTTTTGTAACTACCGCACCAGCTCCTAAACCATTTCCAGAATTATTTCAGCAAATGGGTAATTGGAAATAGGGTGACCATAGGTTTAATTTTAAAAGACTGTCCCTGTGGCGACTTTCTTTCTGCCTGACATTACATGTATTAGTCCCCCCCCCCCCCCCCAGTAATTCGTTGCGTAAGCCGAACTTCTAAACCTATTTATACCGACTTACAACTCTGCTATTTGGCTGCCTGAAGGGTAACAAAACCTTACCCATGTTTCCTGATAAATAAACAAATTACACGATTACATTTATCATCTGCAGCCATTGTCAATCCAAGCGGCTCTCCTGATCCTGTGGTGTAGTAATCAACCTCGCAGCTCCGCACAAATTGATTTAATTGCGCCGTCTCCTCGGTACACAGCCTCTAGGATGCATTGCATTCCTCAGATGTGCGCCACGGTCGCAAGATGTTAATAACTACCTCACCTGGAAAACTGGAGGTTGTGAGTTCGTTTCCGACCCTGACGCTTGTATATTTGGAGTTTGCATGTCCTCCTCGTGGTCGCGTGGATTTTTCTCCAGATCTTCCAGTTTTTCACTCCACATTTAGAAACATGCATTTCGATTATTTGGCTGCTGTAAATTTCCACACGATAAGCCACTTTGTTGAGCTATCATTTGTGGCCAGGTCGCTTCTGTAAAAGAGTGAAATAGCTCGGTGGGCCTTTTCTGGTAAAGTAAAAATAATTGAGTTTTTTACTCCATAATTATTCTTAACCATCGGACTTCATCCCTTCCAGCGATGACTATACTAAACTAGCAATATTTTTAATTTACCAGTTAAAGCCCACATGATTACATTAGTGAGAGAACCTCTTGTCTGCTGCATCACGGAGATGAACATGGGCATTAGCTCCTGGCATTTTTGCCAATAGCGGCGGGGGGTTCATGATGCCGAGTGCAGCGCATTGCCCAGATTGGCCAGGCAGGAGAGAAGCTAGAACCTTGTGCGTGCTGCTGTGGCAACACAGGTTGCCGTGGCCCCAGCTCAAGGGATACTTCATGTACAAGCTGGAGCGCGTACTGGATGACTTCCGTGCCTCGGTACCGGAGGTGCGCGGGCCCCCCAATCGGAACGTCGACTACGTCCCTTACGACGATATGAAGGAGCGCCTGCTCAAGATAGTGGACGGCTTCACGAGGTGGGGCATGGGAATTTGGGACGAGTGCGGGTCAGCTTGCATTCCACCCACCCGCCTTCTGACTTGGAAGCTGAGCTTTGTGCCTGGTGTGTTAAAGAGTTTGGGTAGAAAAAACGAATCTACAGGATTTTAAAAATACAAAAACAAACAGATATTCTTTGGGTCTTTATGTAAAGTCACGTAGATAGGTTCAAAGAAAATAACAAAAAACAACGACGTTTTGATCACAACACAAGCGATCATCTTCCTGATGACGATCGCTTGTGTTGTGATCGAAACGTCGTAGTTTTTTGTAATTTTTTTTGTTATTTTCTTTGAACCTATCTACGTAACTTTACCGAAAGAACCAAAGAATATGAATTCCTGCAGTCACGAAAGCTTTAAGTCGAAAGTTAGAAACAAACATCTTTTATTTTCTAAATACATACCTAGGATGTGTCCCAGGCTGTCTGTGTTGGAAGCTTTGTGGAGAAAAAAAAACGCATTTAAAGGTTTTAAGCACTGTAGTCATGTTACTATCGTGTCACTTTTACACTTCCAAATACCCACTGCAGTGTTGACAATAAAGCACTTCCTACTGACTTTAAATGCTTATTTTTCTCAATCAGGAACTCAGGTCAGGCAGCCTGTGACGTGCAGCCTTGGTACGTAGTGTATTCAGAGGATAAGAGCCCCTGTTTTTTTAGGGTCATATTATGTAATTTACATATCCTGCCTTGTCTCTATTTGACAGCTGCATATGCAGTGGCTGGTTGTATTGTTAAGCAGACAGACCAACTGGTGTGGGCCTGTCAGCTCGTTGTCAACTTCTGCTGCTGCCTTGTGTTGTGTGCAGCGCACCTTTCACAATACAACGGTTATGTGAACTGCTGATGGAGCCGAAAAAACACTACAAGCGCACGGACAAGTTCATGAGGGGGATAGAGAAGGTAAGGGGGAAGGGTCCCCTTGCTGTGTGTTTGTGTGCACTAAGCTTGGCAACTGACTGGTTGTGCTGCCACTAATTGAGTGTAATTGAGTGTTTGTGGCAAATGGAAGTTGGCCCATGGTTCTCAGCCCGGCCTCGATATTGATCATCCCTCTCGGACTGCTTGCTGTGTTCGCATTCTATTAATCAGTAACGCTTTCAAATTACAATGTAAGCACAGATGAGGCTTGGCATCTTTCTGGAAAATGTCAATAAAAGCGTTTTTATTATGTACTGTGGTGTATGACATGTACTATTATCTAATTTTTCAGAATGTGTTGGTCGTGAGCAGTGTCTACCCATCGTCGGAGTAAGTGTGCACATACGCGCACATACAAAAAAACCCGTTCATGTTTCGGCACTCGTGTAAAATAATACATTGTTGGCAGGTATTTTTCACTGCTAACCATGGCTGTTTTGTTTTCTTTCCAGGAAATTCAATTTCAGTACAAGCACCCTTAATCGAGTAAATGGAATTTTACCATCTGGTCCCAATACTGCTTACCAAGACAGGTGAGTGAGGGCAAATTTGGAGACATTTTGAGGCAAATTTCTACGTAATTTCCGTAGAATCTTGTCGGGCTGCACATTCTCGCGTCGTCTGCAGAGTCCATTTGACGTGTTTGATGTGTGATGGATGTGCGCATCTGCGCCTGCGCGGTTGATCCCCTGCGGCTACAGGTCAAACGTGAATGGCCCGGGAACGCCACGACCTCCCATCAGGTCCCGGTCGCCCTCCCCGGGGTCTTGCCCTTTGCTGCCGTCATCCAACGGGTTTGGCGACGGCACAGTGCATCACGCGACGGACGAAGAGCGCGCCTCACAGAGGTACTGTTCTCACCCATCTAAGTCACGGGTCGACTGTTGCTGCTTCACTCACCTTGTCGGTGGAAAGGAGTTTTCTTTCCAAATTCCGCACACAGCCGGTTGCATGGCATTTGAATAGTTTGTTGCAGAGCCTTATCTTACATTACATGATACTGTCAGTTTTTAGTGATACAATTACTGATTGGCATTAGCAAGCACAGGTCCCGCATTATTTCTTGTCCACACGGTGCATGTGCAGCCCTTAGTCAGTCCACTGCCGGACTATATCTTATGCACCTCGCTGCTCAATATGAAGACGGGAGGGACCGATGTGGGGGCATAAAAGCTTTGTACAACAATGGATTTTGCTATACTGTCCTCTGCTGTTCGTCACATAGCCCACAGAACACTTTGTGTCCAACTCGGGGATGGTGGACTTACATTTAATTTGACCCGTGGTCATTCGAGGCCTACCACGGCCAAACGACCTACAAATGATGGTAATCTATCACTGCAAGTACCTTGCTTACACGAATCGGGTACTAAAGTGGAATATTTTCAATTTGGAAACACTTCTAATTATAGCACATGAGGTTACTTTTGTCCCTGCAAATAGCTCTTGCAGTGACAGAAGTACGTTGTGTGTGTTTGCACGCTAATGTATTGCTCGGCAAAGGTATTTGAAAGTTCTGCTTCAACTAAACATAACATTTTTTACATTACCAGGTAAGGTCTACTGAGCTATGTAGCTCTTTATCAGAAGCGACCTGGCCATAAATGATAGCTCAATGAAGTGGCTTATCATTTTGAAATTTACGACAGCCAAATACTCTAAATGCATGTTTCTAAATGTGGGAGGGAAAAACCGGAGTACCCGGAGAAAAATACACACGACCATGGAGAAAAATTTGTAATCTCCAAATATACAGACATCAGGTTCGAGATCGAACTCATGATCTTCTGTGTACTCGGTGTGGCAGTTATCATCTTGCCACCGTGGCACCCTGCTTATCCGTCGGTAAGAAAAAGGCTTCAACACCTCTGGTCTAACCCGAGGCTCGTGTGTTGCACCAGTTCCCCCCCGCCCAGCGAGAGCAACCCGCTGAAAACCAAGCACGGGGCGCAGGACCAGCTGGAGGAGGGCACGAGCGACGACCCCCAGGCCAAGCGGCTCCGGTTTGATGAGGAGGACGAGGAGGAGGAGGAGGAAGATGAGGATCAGCAGTCTGCGGATGAAGAGGAGGAAGAGGAGGCCGAGGAGAGGGGGGGCCGTGGGTCATCGGCTCGCTCCCCGGAGGCCACGTCCGGCAACGCGAGGTCGCCGCATGGCTTCGAACAGCGCCCGGTATCCGACATCACAGAGGAGCAAAGCTGTTCGGCCAGTGCAGGTGAGGAATAGTGTCGGCTAGCATCTGACGGAGATAGTTTTCTGCACTACCCTCTGTTGATGTGCATTGTCGTTGCTCATCCAAGCACCATCCAGGCTAAAATCTACATAGCTTAAAACAATCTGAATAGATCGGGTGCATATTCTGGGTAATTTTTGTCATAGGTCCTTCAAGTCAGCGTTCACCGCGTAAATTTGAAACCATGTCTCATGCTTGCGTCCTCACCCTTGCAGATACTGGCGCTACGGAACATTGCAGCGAGGTGGAGTCCGTGCCCAGTTCGGTCAGTTCCGAACCGAAGGTGACTGGGGAGGAGCAGGAGGACGAAGAAGAGGAGGAGGCTGTGCACGACATGGACCAGTCGGATTGTGGGGGTGGGGTGGGTGGACCCGAGGCTGCCGACAGCGAGGCAGGAGCGGTGACGGTGGCGGCGGCGGCAGTGACGGAGGCAGCCGGTGGGAGTGGCGGCGAAGCGGCCGTGAGCAGCTCGGGCCTCGCCGGTGGTGCCGACTCTAACTCGAGCGACGGCAGCGGTTGCGGCGGAAGCAGTTCGGTGTCGTCTTCGGCCGAGCCCTCCGAGGACACCGAGCAGCCGATGGACCAAGACTGACCTCTCCTCCACCCCCCTTCTTTCCTACTCTCCGTTTGCCCTGTGTGTGTGCGACCCCGACCCCTACCGTGTGTGCACAGCGTTACCTCCCCTCGTCCCAAAAACCGCCTCCGATCCATGCCCCCCCCTCCGATCCCCCCCAATCTCCCCCCACCCCTGCAGTGCCTGCCGGTCAGTGATCAGCCAGGCACGAACTAAAGCAGTATTCTTATTTTGAGCGGGAGCACGATTTAAAGCGCTGCCTTGAAAATGGGTCTGCGTCTCTTCTCAACCCGGCTTCTCTTGGTGAAGGTATGGTGTTGTGTTCTCTTGTTGTGAGTCGATGGTCTTTGGGTTGGTTAGCGCTGTGTTTGTGCGTCCTATCTCGTTTGTTTGTTTCTTATTGGCTACCAGCAGTTTATTTTAAGTGTGTTTTTTAAATTAAACGAATTTTTTTCTCGTCACACATCAGAGTTTCTTTCCAGCTACAGAAGTCGGTTGGGACTGAATGGGGAAAAAAAAGTGTCAATCGATCTTTGGAACTGCTTAAGCAAATTGCAAACGAAATGATAAGTAACATCGCACTTCAACCACCCGAGGTTGTAATTGGTTGGATATAAATAAATTGGCTACCATTCGGCAAACCAGTGGTAGGAAGGAATGTTTTCTCTCACTTGGGTCAGCATTATGGAACCGTAAAACAAACAAAAAACATTGCTGTGGGAAAGAATGGGATGGCAAACATTTTAGCAGAGGCGCACTGTTCAGCAAAAACACTCATGTTTTCTTTCCTGGCATCGGTTAAATTCCCGTGTGGATTATTTGGAGCTGATTGACACTGTGTTGTGTTTTGTGTGTGTGTGTGTGTGGGCCGGCAGAGTGAGACGCGGATGTGTGTGTTTTATGGGTTTTGATTGATCATTTTAAAATTTCCAAGTTGTCACAAGATTATACCTGAATACAGCTCTTTGTACTGTGGAAGCATCGCCTATTTTCAGGTATTTCTACTGTTGTACGCACTGAACGTTCCTTGAATTTGTAAAAACGGCAAGCTGGGGTTTGTGTAAGTTTGTAGATCATTCTCTCCTCACTGTTTTTAAACAGTTATGCGAGGCCGATTCCCCCCTTCCCCTGTGCTGTTTAATTGTCATGTTGCTGTTTAGATAGGTAACTTTTGAGAGAGAAAAAATGTTGCTTAATTTATTTTTTTTAAACAGTTTCCACAGCAAAATACAGGAGTGAAAGTTTTGAAGATTACTTTTTCCATAAACAGTACCTACATTCTCTCACACACACACACACACATTTACATACACACATTTACATAGGCTAGAAAACATTCCGTTAGAGAAACTCCACATGTGGACTTATGGTGCATAAATACACTCGTAGCTGCAGTGAAATTGATTGAATCTTGTCTCGTTGAGGTTACTGAAAAAATATATACCACCCGTTCGAATTGTGTGTAAAATGCAACGGTAATTCCTCCACCAAATGTTGTCTCCGAGGAGAGGCTATGACGTGGGAGCCAGCGGCTTTGGAATGTTGAAATGGCTACATTGCACACACGCACACACTGGTGTGTCCCGTAGGCTGGTGGTTTGCTGTACCCGTGAGTGTACACCAAGGCCTCCTGTTTAGAATCGCTGTCGTTCGCAAGTTTGAGTTGCAGTACTGCATGCAGTTTGGTGCACACAGGGCATGCGTAATATGCAAAAGTGAGCTTTATCGACCTGAGTTGGCACTTACCTCGCTGGTGCGACCACAGGCCGACTGTTTTTAATATCGATAGGTGACTTGCTAGGTTTGCTAAGCATTAGGATTTGTTCGGGAGATCCAAGTGTACAAGCTTTAGACGCGATATCTGTTGGCTCGAGCAGTTGAGACTATTGAAACCGTTTAACAATTTTAACAAATCTAATTTTATAACGAAGGCAAACTTTGTTTTTGGTGGTGCATCTTCAGGAGCCCAATCATATCCCAGTGCGTGATTCTTGTTGAGTATCTGTCAGCGTGCTTTCCTACCATCTTGATAATTTATTTGTTTTGTCCTTGGGCTTGGCTAATCTGTGAATGTGGCACCCCCAGCAGACGGCTGAAAAGCATAGCCATTCATTTGTAGCCCATTGATGAAGAGTTGACATTTTTTTTAAAGGATAAAATATCTCCTAAGGACCTTTTAAAGCTTTCTTTGTGTGTGTTTTGCATTTTTAATACTACTATTGCTTTCCTCTCTTGTCACGGCGACGTTTTTGGCCACGGTGAGCGAGAGGAGCGCGGTGGCGCGGCGTTTAGCGTGTCCTCTGCTGTCCGGTGTTTTCTCGTTCGTAGTAATTTGTTGAGTTTGACCGCAGCCACGTGTTTGTCCATTCGTCATGTCTGGCTATTACCACCCCCCCCCCCTGGGCAGCCACCTCTAGTGAACATAATATAATACCTTTTTTTGATATGGTGAGTAGGTTTATAAACACACCCCTGTAGACGCTCCTCTAGGGTTTTTTTGTAGGTTGAATGTTTATGATTGCGTTAAATGTTATCTATAATTTCCCCCCCCCCTCCCCCCTTTTTAACAAAAAAAATGTTTCTCGTGAAAGCAACTTCTGTACAAAAATCTGTTTTGTGTGAGCTGACAGGCTCTGGCTTACAGTACATTTACGTAATGAAGCAATAAAATGGATGTTTGCCGATCACTTGTTTTCCACGGCGTGACATTTCATCTGTAGAATTGTATTTGTTATTTTAAGACGTGGGAGGTGGTGGTTGAGGGGTGTGGGGATTGAGGAAAAGCTTCCTGAAATAAATAGGAATGATAAAAAATGTGTTTTCATATAGCGCCTTTCATCAGAAGATTACAAAGCACTGTCACATCTGAAATCGTGGATGCTCCACACGAAGCAAAATCGGGAAAACAAAGTACTGTATGAAACACTCAACTTCGATAAACAAATAACTTTTTGCACATGCCTAAGTTAAAGTCGGAACGATCTCTGAACCCGAAGAATGGTGCATCTCCACTCGTTACTTGCGTGTAAATGTCGCCCCTTAATATCTTGTGGAAGAATGTCACTCCTCGCACGTGCCAGGCAAAACGCGAACGGTGTGAACAAGGGTTGACCAACAGAAACATGCGTGCTCCATTGCAATGCTCAGTCCTGTCGGGATGTGTGCCAAAGTAATATTTATCGGCCGGTCTTGTAGAGAGGAGTAATTATCAACAATGGGGGGAAAATGCAAGTTGTCTCCTTTTTTGAGAATTGATGGTGTGTTTGGGTTCAGGTTTTGCTGGTACCAGCAGCCAGGAGGGTCATTCTTTTTGTACAAATGGTTTATTTTTGTTTGATATGTTATGGCGTAAAAGTCACGACAACACGACGGAAAACGCTGTACATTGCTAACGCCGCTCGGGTTATTGTACAAAACGTCCTACGCGCACGGGTGGTGGTGTTGGTGCGACGACGCGCCCCTCGATGTATACGACAGCGCCCACGTGCTCACGGTTTGCACTTGGCATGCATGCATCTTTGTGTTCACATTCGCCCATCCATGCGCACATTTTTTCTCATCTGTGTACCCTTGGCAAATACTTTCTATTCGTGTAAACCTTTTAACACTGTTTCTGGTGGCTTAATGTATTTGATCTTTGACTAAATTACCTGGAAAGTGCTCAGTCTTATCAGATATTGGAAGCTAAGCCGGATAGGGCCTGGATGGGCAACTGCTTCTGCACAAAAGGTTTTTTGGACTATGAACGTGGTGGACAGCAGAGGGAGGTGCGGCTAAATTCGATGTTTCTACGTCTTTGCTCCCACACCTGTGCTCCCTGCGTTCACCACGCCGCACCGATCAGCGTGGTGAGGTATGGTGAAATGACCTCCACGACCCGCAGAGTGGGGGGTAGATTGACAAAAAGGGCTGTTCGTGTACCAATGCATACCTAAAAGTAACATCGGGTGACTTAAATGTTACTGGGGTTAAAATGGTGACAATTTTGAAAGCGTTACTCTAAATATTCCAACTGATTTGCAAATATTAGTTTGTTGCTAGTCCTCCAAGTTTAGCTACAATGTTTGTTATCGGGCAATCCATCGCTTGTCAATGTCCTGCTGTCAGATGCTGTGTTGTGAATTGAAACGAGATTTGCCAAAAATATAATTGGAAAGGATTTGCCGGCGATTCACCTAGAACACTGCATGTAGAACCATGACTTTTTTTATAGGACAAGATTTACAAAATAAATTTTGGATTGTTTCGGTTGGAATTCATAATGTGTGTTGTTTGCAAGACGTTACCATGCTTAAACGGAAGTTAGTTTGTCAGCAAGTTGGGTAAATGCTAGAAGGACAAATACAAACTATTAAAGCAAAACTTTTTCCATGCCAATTTATACCATTATATACAACAGTGGGCAAATACTTATTTTCGGTTGCGAAATGTTTCCCGTAACATTTAAAACACAAACATATCGTCCGTTTCCTAAAGTTACAACACTGCTCGGGTAAGTTTCATGTACAGAACATTTCTAAATGCATTTAGTCATAGCACATCTCAAAAATTACAAATGAACAAAGTTAGACTTACAAAGGTGAATATCTCTTAAGCCATGGGTCACAATATTGTTTCTTCCAAGTTGCTTCACAGAAACGTTTGCTTTTGTTAAGCTAACGGTTATATTCTTTTATCTGTACATTTATGCAGCATTGGACAAGTTCAAATCTATATGCGTTAATAAACGTCAGGCTTTGCTTATCTTTAAAGTGGTCAAAGTGCAGAAGAGGATAAACTTTTGGCCGTCTTTAATGTGACATTAACATTTTACATTACAACTGGCGTGGACGGCAGAGATTGTCATCCACTACAAAATGATACTCCAGCGGGGGCGGGAGGGGAAATATGTTTACGTTCACGTTAAGTGAAAAGGGGATGGGGGGGGGGCTACTGCGAGAAGTTTCTGTGTTGTGATGCGATGGCGAGCCAGTGGCAGCCTCAGCCCAGAAGAAATGCCACGAGGACTGCTGCCAGAACCACCATCGCGGACGCGTGACCCAGGGGGTTGTGGCCGCCACTTGAACCTGTGTGCCAAGGAGTCCAAAGGTCAGCCAAAGGTCAGGGCAAAGACGCGTCTCTGGAACGGGCAGACATTGTCACGTTTTACAGGTTCGGGTACACTTTACAAATCCACATTTTTCAAGATGCGAGTTCGAATTTGGTATCGATCGAAAGCTTGGAGATGTGCAAACAAATTCTCATCTTCTTTACCTCGTCGAGTTAATGGCGAAAAGCGAATTCGTATGTGGACTACAACATTAAAAACCTCGAAATGCATCTGTGCTTTACAAAAGCAAATGTTTATTTGGTGGCCGTGAGGACCAACCATTAGCCTAGGAACGTTGTCACGAGCAACGGCTGGCCCTGGAACGAGAGACCATCAGGGGCCCTGGTGGCTGAGGTAAGAATAACGAATGAGGGAGGAATGAGAGAAATTTTATCTTAAACATTACAAAATAATTCTAGATTTGAAGCTTTCGTGACTGCAAGGATTCATATTGTTAGGTTTTTTCGGTAAAGTCACGTAGGTAAAAAATTAATAAAAGTAAAATAAAATAAAAATCACGACGTTTCGGAGGCAACACAAGCTTGTAAATTTTTTACCTACGTTACTTTACCGAAAAAACCTAAGAATATTACAAAATAATGTAACAATTCTGCTTATGTACTGTGAAAATCAACACAATCGAAAGCACTTGTGTACATCGAAAAATGTAAAGTTTTGCTGCTAATTTCCAGAACGCAGTGCAAATGCAAAGAAATGAGTGCGTAAATGAGGGAAGAACAGATATAGTAAATGGATGTAGTGAATGACAAATGAATACCTGAGGGAGGAATTAATAAATGACGTAGTAAGAATGAGGAAAATGCATGAGAGAATGAGTTGGTGAATAAAATGATGACACGGAAGGTCCGAGAAGAATGAGAGGGTTTGAGGAATTGGGTGAGAATAAAAGTTGAATGAATGGACTGAGTGACGGATGAGTAAATGGAGGAATTTGGGAGTAATAACTGAGCAAGTGACGGCATAGTTTGGTGGTGTGAGGTTTTGTGTGAAATGGTTTCGTATTTACATCATGGGATCTCCTTTGCCAGTACCAAAATATGATAATAGGTTTCCCCTTTTATTTCTGGCAACAAAAACAGGTGTTAAGATGTTAAAACGCCAAACTTAAACCTTTTACAAGGAATCATGTCTGCATTAACCATTGCTTGTGGTTAGAATGCAAACAAAAAAAAACACTGATATAGTATATGCATTGTCCTTTAAACTCATTGGTCCACACTAGACAGCTTTCTTTTGAGCCTCCTCTCAAACGGCGTTAGACCAGAGGACGTCTGTTTTTGTTGCCAGAAAAAAGGGGAACAACTTATTATCATATTTTGGCGTAGTATTGTAGAGTGGTGATGTATTGTACTGTCATGGTGCAATATGTATGTGGGTGTGGTGAGTGCACGATGACGCAGGTGAGGTGTGGGTGATGTCTGCTGGGTTTCAGCAGAGCAGTGTGGTGAGTGTGTGTCCCAAGTGGTGAGGTGTCTGGTGAGGGGGCCGGTGGTTGACCGGTGAGTTCTGGTGTCGTGGGAGTGGTGAGACGTGATGAGTGAGAGTGGCTTCCAGTGGAGAGGTGGAGTCAATGGTGGAAGAACCGCTAAGGGGAGAAGGGGACAGTCCATGGGGATGATAACCCTGTGTATGGGACGGGCTGCTCTCGTGTTTTGTGTAGTGTCTGAATGCAGTGAGCGACTTAAAAAATGGAAGAAACAACCAAGACTCGCACTGAGCTCTTATCTTGTAGCTTATACAACCAGGCTGCGTCCTGACATGTCTGACATGACGTTGGAAACTCCATTTTTTTTAAACAATAAATTAACATTTACGTTTACGCGCTCCGCCGAAGTGATATAATAAAGTTGGTGTGGTGCAATTGCCTTGTGATTTACCGTCAATCGGTTGGTGTCACGAGAGGGTGCTATTGCGGAGTTTGTTGTTGTTAAAGTTATGAACCAATGTGGGCCAGCGCTGTGCTGTCAGCACGAAGATCCTGGGTTCGAATGTCGGCAGGTACCCGCGATTACAGCGGGGCTTCAGGTGGAGCGAGTTAATGGACTCGGCCTAGGTCACCACTGACCACGTGATTTCCCCCCTCCACCACCACCACCCCATTACATGACATTTAAAAAACAAATTGATTTGACAATTCCAAATCTGACATCTTCTATGGGTGTTTCGGTAAAGTCACGTAGATGGTTCAAAGAAAATAACCAAAACTACGACGTTTCGATCACAACACAAGCGATCGTCATCAGGAGGAAAGGGGAGGAAAAGCTGCTTAATGCAGACTTTTATAGGATGTAGTTATTGAAGTGGGTGGAGCTAGTGATGTTAATGTGAGAGATTTGCATGTTGATGTAAGATCAGTCTGCATCCAGCAGCTTTTCTCCTCTTTCCTCCTGATCGCTTGTGTTGTGATCGAAATGTAGTTTTTTTCGTTAATTTTTGTTATTTTCTTTGAACCTATCTACGCGACTTTACCGAAAGACCCAAAGAATATGAATTCCTGCAGTCACGAAAGCTTGAAGTCAAGATTTAATCCACAACATCGGTTTCATTGGCACGTGATGAACACTGACTTTCGTGTGGACAAAGACGCCGATTGAAGTGACCCTCAGAAGTAGTCGCGTGACATCTCTGCAGGGCCGGTCTCTAACACGGGACGATGCACTACCGTTTCGATTTAAAGCTTTCGTGACTGCAGGGATTCATCTTCTTAGTTCTTTCGGTAAAGTCACGTAGAATGGAAATAATAAACTAATAAAAATAATAAAACATAATAAAAGAATTCTCACGACGTTTCGGCCACAACGCAAGCAGCCGTCCTCAGGTGAAGAACAGGTCAGTCATTCAGACTCTGTCTTCTCGACATACCTGTTCTTCACCTGAGGACGGCTGCTTGCGTTGTGGTCGAAACGTCGTGAGAATTATTTTATTATGTTTTATTTTTATTATTTTATAATGTTTTATTTTTTTATTATTTTGTTATTTCCATTCTACGTGACTTTACCGAAATAACCAAGAAGATGCACTACCGCTCTACGTGCAAAGTTCGCAATTAAATGTCTTCGTCTCCAAGACGTCGATGGTGCAATTGGAATGCAATTGAGGGGGCATGGGGGGGGGAGATCTTTCAAACTCACTTGGCAGCCTAGGACATCCAGCTCGGGTTTAAATCTACAAGATAAGAGCCAATCATTTTCAAGGGGGTGCCTTCCATCAGCGGCTGCTGCTGTCATATCGTGGGGGTGTGACAAGGGATGGCGCTGATGCTCGTCGCGACTCCAAAAGATCGGTAACGTCGTGCGGTCACCACCTTGATTGCCTTTTTTAGCCGGCATTTTCTCCAGAGCCGAAGCATGGTTCTCTGTGTAAAGAAAGCACAAGCGTCTTTCGGTGATGCGTGGGTTGTTCGAGTGATCTTAATTTTAAAGGAAGATTGCAATCCCAAATACACACTACAAGATGAGCGCAGTGTGAGTGTTCCAGACTTTCCGACACATTCGAAGCTTCGTTGGTGACAGGAAAGAAAAATCGTGCATATGCATGGTTTGTGAAATGCTTTCCAACATGCCTTTGCCATTCCGGAGTAACAATGACATTGGCCATGACGATCTTCCGAGCCACACAATGAGATGACGTCGTGCGACATCGCGAGATGACGCGATGACGTCATCACGTTGTCCGGCAAGGCATTATTTTCAGTGCTGGTTTCTATCACCAAGTTTTGGGCCACCATTTGATCAATTTGGCAGCAGAACTTTCCCCAAAAATTGTGCATATTCGCTCATCTTTGCGAGAGTTATCGTTACCCCCCCCCCCCCCTCTGTTTTAAACAGATAGGCAGACGGGCAGAGCTAATGCAGTTACACTTTCAACCTTAGTTGGAAAGTATTAAAAGAAACTTTTAAAGTCACAGGCACACCACCCCAGCACCGTGGTCACGTCAGTGCAGTGACACTATTCAGAGGTACGAGACTGATGCAGCAGTGAATGCACGAGCGCTCCCCGACCTTGTATATAAAAGCTCGTGTCAGACAGTCTATGAACATACGAAAGTTACAAGATAAGAGCTGACAACAGATGCGGGCATGGCTTCACATTCATATTAAGAGGCGGCTACGCAGCCCAAAGAATAAAAACAGCAGCATCAAGCTTTCACGGTCTGCTCTCCCGACACATTTCCATTTCTGCCGGCTGCGGTTCGTACAGCCAGTGCAGTCTTCACCAAGGGTTCTTAGGTTCCGACCCAATGCAATTATTGGCAATTTAACGATGGCTGTGCCGTGCCCCCCCCACCATCCCCTCTGAGAATGTGTATGCCCCCACCCACCTTAAACAAAATAAATAAGCAGACAATACACCTTCAAATATCTGTCCTGCCAGAAAAAAAATATTTTTTCCACATCCCATTGGCCACACGGCATTTCTGCATAATTTCAGCAGCGTTCAAAACAAGCAAACTCTGGACCAGATACAACATCTGTTGTCTCATCAGCAGAGTCAAAGTCGCTTGCACCAATACTGGTGACCTGCACAATCTTTATAGGCAAGCACCCTCTCTGTTCGATACAAAACTATATAATATTCCCCTTTAAACAAGGTCACTATATTCTTAGGTTTTTTCGGTAAAGTCACGTAGGTAAATTTTTTTTATTAATAAAAGTAAAATAAAAATAAAATAAAATACTCTCACTTGATACAGCTATCGAGCTGTGACGGTCCCACCTGAAGACGGAAGCTTGTGTTGCCTCCGAAACGTCGTGATTTTTATTTTTTATTTTATTTTTATTTTACTTTTATTAATTTTACATTTTTTACCTACGTGACTTTACCGAAAAAACCTAAGAAAATGAATCCTTGCAGTCACGAAAGCTTCAAATCTAGAAGGTCACTCTACCCGGGTCAGGTAATGGTGGTGGCGGTGATGGCACCTACCGGTGGTGACTTCTACGGTGAGCCGAGCGGGAAGCCCATCCCCACCGGGGCTGCGTGCCCGCACCTCCACCGTGTAGACGCCGTCGCTGGTGAGGTTCAGCCAGGCCGAGGTGCGTTCACTCTCCAGCACGGCTCGCACCACGGGGCCGTTCGTCTCCAACCAATACAGCACCTGGCACGCGCGTGCAGGGGGGAGTCGGGGCAGACGCGACACGACCACACGCACACAGAATTTTCCGTCTCATAGCTGTATGCCGAGGCCTGTGCTGTGGGCTGTGACAACGTTCGCATAGAGAAATTAATTGCAAATCACGGTTAGACGAGTCAATGTCCTTGACGGATTGATTCAAATGTGTGAAAGCGATGCCGCAGTGATGTCACTCTTAATCATCAGCCATGATCGATCCACGGCAGGGCAAAGGTCTCCCAGAGCCAATGTCATCGCTCGCGGTCTCACGATGCATCTACTTCCTGCACAAGAGCTGATTTTATTGCTCCGTCTTTGCGGTGGACATCTTCTAAGGTTCATCTTCTTGGTTCTTTCCGGTAAAGTAACGTAGAAGGGAAATAAAAAAATAAAAAAAATAAAACATAATAAAATAATTTTATTATTTCCCTTCTACGTGACTTTACCGAAAGAACCAAGAAGATGAATCCCTGCAGTCACGAAAGCTTTAAAGCGAAATCTTCTAAGGTGTGTACCTACTTTGGCTGTGACTCTGTCATGAGTCTTGACCACTGGCCATCGTCCCTTCAATGACGTGTCTTGCCCAAGCTCCACTTACTCTTCTTAATGGTCGGTGTCGTCTCTCTAACTTCCAGCCAATGTGCTCCTCTCTCTTGTCTCTGAGTGTAATTCCGAACAGGCACCTTGTTATACTTCACACATTTCAGCTTTTGCTTCCATTTTATTTGTCAATGTCCACGTTTCTAGTCCATGTGGCATGGCAGATTGCTAGGGTTCTATCACCGATGCACTCCACCGTAACGCTCAGATGTATGTTTTACTCGTGCCGTACAGACAGCTTGCAACTCTCAGATTGAGATTATCCTAGCTCACAGGAACCATCCTGGAGTCCACAAACAATGACCGCCCTGGACCACCCTGGACCTCGTCTACGATAACATCGCTCCCCCGGCACTTGCCTTGTATCCGGTGACGGCTGACTCGTTCTCCGTGGCCTCCACGGGGTCCCAGTGCAGCGTGGTCCCCGAGCCGGGCGTCACCTGAGCACTCACGTTATGGGGCACCTGGCTCGGAGCTGCAGCACGCACGCACGCACGCGTACGAGAGAGCACGGGTGGGCATGTGAGTGGAGTGGCGTAGCGTGGTTGGCATGGGCCCTGGTGCGAGGAATGAAATAGGGCCACCTCCACTCCCTGTCTCGTAGCTCGGGGCCTGGGACCCTCCAGCCGCATGCACGAGGATTGGCGCATTTGCACGGCCTGCCCACTCGATAGCTACGCCACCAACCTTGAGTCACTGGGGGTTGTTGTATTGGATCTGCTGTTTTCTGCTGAAAGTGTCGATTGTACTGGTGGTGGCGGTGGTGATGGTGCTTATTATGTTCCAATGGGACCACCAGTCGTGGTATTCATTCTCGTGAAGCTTGTGGGGTGGTGGCACTGGTGCCGGTGTGAAACCAAAAGCACCACGTGCACTGGGGGTGCTGGCAGTGTTGGTGATGCCGGTGGTGGTGGTGTTGCTGATGGTTCTAGATTTGAAGCTTTCGTGACTGCAATGATTTATACTCTTAGGTTTTTTCGGTAAAGTCACGTAGGTAAAAAAGAAAATTAAAATTAATTAAAGTAATACTATAAATAAAATAAAATAATAAATCAGACGTTTCAGGGGCAACACAAGTCTCCGTCATCAGGTGGGACCGTCACAGCCGAAACGTCGTGATTTATTATTTTATTTTATTTCTATTATTACTTTAATTAATTTTAATTAAATTTTTTACCTACGTGACTTTACCGAAAAAACCTAAGAGTATGTTGCTGATGGTGCCAATGGTGCAGGTGGTAGTGTGGTGCCGCTGGCGTCGCTGCGGCGTGGCTCACGCGGCTTGAGCGTGGTGCCGTTGGCGGTGCGGCTCGGTGGGCCGGCCCCCGCCCCGTTGAGCACCCGCACGGCGAGGGAGTACGTGGTGGTGGCGCTGAGCCCTGCGATGCGCACGCCCGTGGCTTCGCCGCTCACGCGTGCGTCCTGCCGCGTCTCCGCCGACAGCTCGTTCGCTGCGGCCGCCAGCCAGTAGGACACCTGCGGGACACCGCACATTAGCACGAGCACCCACCACGACACAGCATTAGGGGATGAGTTGTAATCCTGGTCGGAGTCGACAATGAGTACCACTTTGTAATTCAATTCAATTGTGGTTCTGTCGTAAGTGGCCCTTTGCAATGGGAGTGACATTTTCACCACTGAAATTGACCATAGCAGCATTGTTGTCAATAGGTTTGCCTGTAAATTGTGACAAGAAAATCAATTTGTCAACCAAATTCTCTACGAAACAATTTTCAATGATATATATATATTTTTAAAAGGGTGCTAATGGAGTTATGACATTTCTAAACTCCATCCGATTAGCCTCATCCTGACAATTGGTTTTTTACCCTTCTATCTGGCAACAAAACTGACACCTTTTTTACAAGGAGTCATGTTTACATAGACCACAATACCTGTAGTCATAATGCAAACAAAAAAGATAACACTGATAATGTGCACTGTCCTTGAAGTTGATTGGTCCACACCCGAGACAGCTTTCCTTAGAGCCTAGTCTCACATGGTGTTGGACCAGATGACGCCAAAATGCGCACAACTCAAAGACAATGCACCATCAGAGTATGAGAGCTCTTACAGTGGCAGGTTAGTAGCTATTACACTGCGTGGTGTTTGGGGGAGTGAGAGGGGGGGGGCATCACCGAGTAGCCGACAAGCCTGCCGTGCAGGCCTTCCTGTGGCACGGGTAGCCACGACACGTCCAGCTCGGACGCCGAGGCCCCCACAGCGGCGACGGACTCCGGCACGGCACTTGGGACTGCGGGACACACGGGACAGACGGGACACGGTGAGATGCGGGTCCTGCCTCTTAGAAATGTGAGAAACTAGGCAGCGCATTGACGGCTGTCTCGTCTGTTTTCGGATTTAGCCGTGGCTTGTTTGGCATGGTGTCCAATGTTTCCCTCCCATGAGCTGGGAGCTTCTGCAGGGACTGAATGTTCAACAGTGAGCGTTCCTTTAGGAGAAACTCACGCCCCAGCCAAAGGAATGTCGAAATGTCAACGCTAGTCCAGAGCTCTAAACGGGATATAAAGCACCTCCTAATTACTAATTTGAGCAGGAAATCAATTGTTGACTTATGCTTGTTTGCCGTAATTATAGTATTCCAGGTCTAGCTTAATAAGCGATTTTCACTCCCATTAGGCTCTAACCAGGTTTATTTTGTACACCTGCACCGCCACTGACCACGCTGGTCAGTGCAGGCTTAAGGTAGGGGGTGCAGAACAATGGATGCGTGCAGAACAATGGATTGGGCTGCACTGCCCTCTATTGCCCACAATGCCGCCTGTACCCACCGTTCGCGTGTGTCGATCGCACATCCAAGTGCCGATCCAGGCTTAAAAGGCAGCTAAGTTCTCGAGGATTGAGAAGTACAAGGCACATTTCATCCACTACGAGGTTTTGAAAAGCCATCTTCCATCTCTCCACTAAGAGGCCAGTGTGAAATTCTTCATCATACCGCAAGGTGGCAGTCAAGCTCCAAACACCGCCGGCTTCTCACGGCAGGGTCAGTCCAAACTTAAGTGTGCATGAAAATGCTCAGCTGTTTTGTCAATCCACTGCTGGGTGGATGAGGGCCTCCCCACACCATGCAAGCAGTGTGGGCTATTTGACCTATAGTTCACCACGCTGGTCAGAGAAGGCTGATGAAGACCATCCGGCATGGCGTGGGCTTGTAGCGGCCTTCTGCTCCACGGGGAGTGAAGAGGAGTGAGTCACCACGCTGGTCAGGAGGGGAGCGTGGACGTTGAAGCATACAATTTACATTTTTGAAAATAATTTAAAAAATGGTCTGACTGACAGTGACCGCCTAAAATAAATATGATGGAGTGGTTACGGGGGGTGGGGGGGGGTGCAACTAATCCTTTTCTCCCCCCTTCCCTCCTTAGCTTTGATACTCGCAGTGCTCTTCAATAAATCTCCCTGCCTCCCTCATCCCCATCCCGTTGCTTAGCTACAAAACACTCAGGCATATCAAGGGAAAAAAGAATATCACACAATAGTGCAAGACAGAAGAAGCACGTATAAAAGCATTTCTCAAGTGGTGTATCATTACGCAACTGAAAAAAAATACGAGACTTTTAATGTCCCAGGAAACTTACAGAGATTTTCTAGGACAGGCAGCTGCCTGGAAAATAATGTTTATTTGAATGTAGCATCGTCCGTGCAAACTGCATCTCAAAACGCTGAAGAATAGGGAACGCGCAGAGGTTTCGTTCACCGAGAGAGAGAATCATTCAGAGGCGCCGGAAACCACAGACACGGTGGGAAGGCAGCCAGAACCGCCGCCAACAATTGCCTCAAATCTGTGGTCCAATACTGTGATGTTTGGCCAACCCCACGAATGAGTAAAAAACTCATTAAGACTTAATAATGAAAAGAAGCCGAGCAATGTGCCTGAGGACGAGAAGTTTTTAATCAGCGTGCATTACCTCCTGTGAAATAAGGCAAACTATTTGGCATTGGCAGTGATGCACAAGCAGCCAATAATAATAAAAAAAGACTTAGCACTATGTTCAAGAACACAGCGTGGCCTTAAAAGGTAAAAATAATAGGGGACGTGTTAGGCAATGGCCATGTTCATAGCACAAGAACGGCTAACCACTGGGCTTCCCAAGTACACATTTTACACTCGTTATGTAGGTAATATAATTGTCTAAAGAAACCCATTACTTGAGAACTCGTATACTCGCAACTGCATAAAGTGGATTGCTAATGGCTGATAACTTACCTCTCTGGCCTATCTATGTGCTATGAAGGGCCATTGCCCGAAACATCACCTATTATATATTTTATTTTTCAAGGCCACAAATTCAGTGTTATTGAAGAACGTGTCGAGTTCATTTTATTAATTGTGCTTGTTCACCACTGCCAAAGCAGCAAAAGCATCACCAAATAATTCCACGACCGAGTGTTCATCACACGAGGAATATCTCGGGAAGGGTCCAGGCCGGTGGGGGGCGGGGGGCAGCGCCCCTGCAACGTACGGGCCTCGGCTGAGTGGACGATCACGGCGGGGCCACGTGGCCCCTCGCCGGCGCTGTTGAAGGTCCCGACGCGCACGAGGAACGCGGCGTAGGGCGGAACGTCGGGCGGCAGCTCTGCCACGTAGAGCGCCGTCTCGGCGTGCGGCACCACCGCCTGCGTCCAGCCTCGCTCGTCGTCCTCGTCTCCGCCGACGACGTCGTCGTTGCGGCCACCGCCGCCGTGACGGCCTCGTGGTGCCATCAGCGACGAGGTGGAGGAGGAGGTCGTGGAGGTGGAAGAGGAGGAGTTTGGACGGAATGACACCACGTAGCCGAAGTCGTCCCCGTAGCGTAATTCTGGGTGCACGGGCTGAGCGGCAGGAACGCGAGCGATGAGAGAATACGACCCCTTTTTATTAGCACGTGCCCAAAGGCTCAAAAACGTCAGAGTGGTCAGCAACGAACAGCACTAATAAAATAATTCTCTCTCTTTGCGTCTTTCCGACAGACCTGTTCTTCACCTGAGGACGGCTGCTTGCGTTGTGGCCGAAACGTCGTCAGAATTATTTTATTATGTTTTATTTTTATTATTTTATTATTTCCCTTCTACGTGACTTTACCGAAAGAACCAAGAAGATGAATCCCTGCAGTCACGAAAGCTTTAAATCGCAATTTAAACAGCACTATTTAAGACTGTATTCGATACGAGTTAACATGGTTCTTGAATTGAGCAAAGTTATAAGAAGTTTGGAAAAGAGATGTTGGGAGGGAATTTCAAAGTGCACCAGTGCAAGGGAGGAAGCAGACAGAGAGAAGTGTTTGTGACCTGGGAGAATAGGTTTTCCCCTTTTTTTCTGGCAACAAAGCAGGTGTTAAGATGTTAAAACACCAAACTGAAACCTCATATTTTGGTACTGCCAAAGGAGGTCCCATGATGTTTGTGACCTGTAGAATGGGTGAGTGGGTGAACGTTGCCCTCGAGTGTGGTGGTTGAACACAGTGTGGATAAGACGAAACGGTCAGTCTGGTAGAATGAGTGGAGGAATCAACGAGTGGCGTCTAGGTGAACAGTCACCGTCGTAGTAGCGATAGAAGAATGAGGAGGCAACCGATTGCTGGTGAACGAGTGAATGGAGAAAATCGGTGCTTGTAGTTGTAGTAATTATAGCTACAACGCCTTTTGTTGAACAAGGAAATATTTGCTGATTCTCAAACCTATTTGAGGATGGTATTGCTGCGTTTAGATGTTTGGCCAATTCCCTGAGTAATCAGAGTTTGACTTCGTGTGGGGAGAAAACCAGAGAAACCAGAGAAAACCCACTCCGCATTAGAGGGGATAATATGCATAGCTCCATCACTTGTCCCGCCACCTTGCAATGCAAGCCTACATAACCTGGTATGCCCATCCAAGCACTAACCGGGATCAAATCTGCTTAGCTTATGAGATCTAATGGGATCAAGTGCAGTCGGGGTCATTTGGTCACATTCATAGTTTTAATTGTTTCATGTCCTAGCTACATGACTTGAATGTACCGTCACGTGGCTATAAAGACAACATGCCTATTGCAATCTATTAGTAAACTCGCCTTTTGCTCGTCCAAGGACGGGTGTATTGCGGTAAATCTTAAACTTGCAAGCGAAAATCAGACCACGACGTAATATCCATTGCATCAATTCGTGTGCAATTTGTAAGGGCGCGGTGACGCAGACCTATTTCATTTAAAGGTTATAATCCCTTGTTCATCACGACGTCCTTTTTACCTCTATGTCTCAACAGCGTTACGGAGATCACGTGACGTGAGGGTTCTGCCTTTGTAGTGAGGGCTGTGAGTTGATGCCGAGGAGGGGGGAGGAGGCGCCTCGCCCCCCCCTATGTGGAGTGACGTCACCCGCTAATTATTATTAATGGTCGGTGTCCATTTGGAAGACGTCACCTCTTCATAATTATTAATGAGGTGGGCTGTTCGATGTGGAGTGACGTCACCTGCTCACGATTATTAATGAGAGGAGAGTACTACATGTGGAGTGACGTCACCCGCTCACGATTATTAATGAGGGGGGCTGGCCAACGTGGAGTGACGTCACGCGCGGGACACACAGACATTCTTGGCTCATTATAGTAGTAAATGTCAATGGGGGCTTCAACTTACGTTCCAGGTAATGGTGAGCTCTCTGGGACGACCACCACCACCACTCACAGCCACTGGCACCACAGTAGGGGCTGCACACACACGCAGAGACGTACGTTCATATACAAAGATCACCCATGTAACACGTGATGCTCCCGAGCACCGATGGGTAACCCACACTACGCCCGGTCACCTTTGTCTGTGCAGTGGTGACGTTTACACGCCGCACCAGGTGCTCATTTATAAGGCTGAGTCTACCTAGAAGAGGCCCTGTACCGTTTCAGATATTGGGTAGTGGGTACCGCTGTTGGCTGTAACAAAGCACCGCTCCCCACACACAAATACACACCGCAGCACACAAATGCAAGCGTCACTCGCGTAATGTTTTGTCAACATGTTGTTGACGTTATTGATATTTGGATGAATCCTTTTGGCGGGGTTTTTTTTCTTTCTTTCCCGCTTGGCAATAACATTTCAATTTCGCTCCTGGGATTGTGTCACGAAACGAGAGAAGGCTCGCCGCGAAACAGCGGCGTCACATCGGCGTCACGTCGTGGCCTCGCTACGTTGACGTCACTAAACTATTTTCCGAGACCCCTTCAATGGGCCACTCATCCGCACTACGCACGCAATCTTTACACAAGGTTGAACAATAACACTGGTCAACACACTTTTTCTGGCATAAGGTATTCCAACGGGTTTAATGTAATTTTGGGGTGCTGATTCCAAATCTGTCTATCACATCAGGTTTTTGAGATATCAAATATTGCATTTTCAATAAAAAACTGCAGAAGAAAAATATTAAATAAATGTGGATATCTACATAAAATGATATTATAAAACACACTATCCTAAAATACAGCACCATATTTTAACACTAAAGCAGTCACTGACTCGCAACAACTTGCAATCATTAGTGACAGAGTTAATTTCGGGTAAAATCAATGAAAATGGGGTATGCCGATAGCATAAAATGAGATGTGATAGCGCAAATCTGAGATCAGATTTTGAATCAGCACCCTGAAATTAGTCTAAAACAGCTGCAAAAGTCCAGGCCAGAAAAAAATGTTTTTTTTTTTTACCAGTGTAATACAAGGTCCAGCACTTACTACATGACGATCGGATGTATATATATATTGAATAAAATTACACAAATGGGTTTTGTTTTGTGGCGCAGTTATTTGGTGACTAGGCTGAGACTCATCGACTCGCTATACCTGAGAGCCCGTGGTTTAATCCTGGGAGGCTAAAATCTGGATTTGAACGGAGGTTTTCTCAGCAGCATTTCTCCGACATAGCATTAACCTTTTGAACCACCCAGCCAGGACTGTGAGATTGGGAGATTTTGTTTTAGGCTTTTGTGAAATTGGGATAAAAACTTTTATTTTCGATTCAAAATGTTCTGGTTTCTACTCCAGTAAAACCACCTGTTGTTTTGGGTCTCTTCTGAAAGGAGGCGCATGCCGTTTTTTTAAAACAAATAAAAAGGAATCATCACCTGTTCACCTCTTTACCCAAACCACCTCATTTTGATTGTCATGACTGCATTTTGCAGGGCTTAATATCTCACTGGATAATTTCAGGGTCACTGGAAGATTACTGGGGGAAATGTCACGTGCCTTAGTAGGCACAAGCCTACTGCGAGAAGTATACTGGATGTGGTATGTGCTGAGTGCACACGGAGGGGAGTCGTGGGTGACATCACGTCACGCTCGCCCTCGGAGAGAGTGGCGTCGCAGAACGTGACGTCATTCCCCCAGGGGGGGGGGGGTATTTAAAGGGGGACCCGGGATGTAACCGGGGTTCGTCGGGGGTAGGAGTGGGGACTCGGGTAGTTCATCCTCACACGAGGCTAGGGGAGGCTACTCTGCCCGACCGGCCGAGGTTGGGGTAGTCCCAGCCCGGGGCAGAGTGGAGAGCCGAGTTAGCCGGGGTGAAGGCTAGGGGGGTTTTGGTTCAGCGTAAGCCCTTACCAAACCTGGCATAAGCCTTTAATAAACGTGGCATGAGCCCCTAACGGAACCTGCCTTGGAGTCGTACATTACACTCTCTGTATCGGCAACCCAGATACATTCAGTTCTGGTTTCTTGTTTATTGTGATTTGTTGTCGTTTTTTTGTCATCATCGTTGTTGCTGTTCTTGTAGCCATTGTTCATGTCATTGGGGGGGGGTTGCCATGTCCCCAGTAAACGTGGAACATTGGGCCAACATTGGGCCAACAGCTGCAACCAAATGGCCCAACATTGGCCCAACGTTGGCATATTTCCCGTGTAATTATCGTTGTAATGTCGTCATGTCATCTTCGTTGTGGTGGTGGTGGTAGCTGCTTACGGGCGGCGTTGGTGCGGATCCGTCGCGATGGCGTGCTCTGCTCGCTGGTCCCCACGTCGCTCACGGCCGCCACGCGGAACTCGTACTCAGTCCACGGCACGAGGCGCTCGCACACGGCCGTCACCGCGCTCCCCTCGATCTCTGCCGGCGCTGGCGACGAGGGGGCAACACGGCAGGACGAGGCGGGGCGAGGAGAGGACGGGGAGACAGCCGAGGTGAAACGACGTGAGATGGATGTGGAACGAAGCTACGTGAAATAGTAACGTTAATTCTAGATTTAAAGCTTTCGTGACTGCAGGGATTCATCATCTTGGTTCTTTCGGTAAAGTCACGTAGAAGGGAAATAATAAAATAATAAAAACATAATAAAATAATTCTCACGACGTTTCGAAGCTACGTGAAATAGTAACGTTAATTCTAGATTTGAAGCTTTCGTGACTGCAAGGATTCATACTCTTAGTTCTTTCGGTAAAGTCACGTAGGTAAAAAATGAAATTAAAATTAATAAAAATAAAATAATAAAATCACGACGTTTCGGAGGCAACACAAGTCTTCGTCATCAGGTGGGACCGTCACAGCCAGATTTGCTGCATCAAGTGAAAAGAGAATTTTGCCTCACGTCGTGATTTATTGTTTTATCTTTATTAATTTTAATTTCATTTTTTACCTACGTGACTTTACCGAAAGAACTAAGAGTATAGTAACGTTAATGTTAATCAATTTTAACGACGATAATGTTAATTCATGTTCTTCCACTGCCCGATGAGGGTCACCGCACACGGTGCAGGCATCAAGGCAGCCTTGGCTGTACTTGAAGCTGGTCAGCGCTGGTTGGTGCAGGTAGGGGGAGTGCCAGAACAACAATTGATTTCCTCCACCACCCCGCCCCCTACTGCCCATAGCGCCTGCTGCACCTGCCCATGGCGCATGGCGATCACACACCCAGAGCGGGTCGTGGGGATTGATTGACCGTGCAGCAAGGGTTGGTGACGGCAGGGAACATGCAGTGCGGCAGCACAGGAGTACAGTACAACAATGGATTCTGCTGCCCACAATGTAACCCCGCAACAGCCAAAGACAGACTGCCATGCGTGGTCGTCGCCCATCCAAGCACTATCCAGCCCAACCCAGTGCCCGATTAGTGCGGGGCCTCTAGAATATGTTATTAAGGGGCCCTAAATAAAAAAAAAACACAAATATTAAAACACATTTTTTTACTTGCACAGTAAAGTAATTGTATTTTTTCATTTGCTATATAGCCAGATAATACGACAAATCGCTAACCTTAAACACCCAGTCGTTCATAAAAGTTGAAGGCAGTATAGTACTATAGTAATAGAGCAAGTGCAGAATCACTGAACCGGAATTGATAGCTTGAAAGCATTTAGCGTGGGGCCCTTGAAAGTGCGGGGCCCGTAGCTACTACATATGTAGCTACTTTGGCTACTACGATAATCCGGCACTGCCCCAACCCTGCTTAGCATCTGAGATCTGATACTATCGGCTCTACGCACAATATCCAGCCCGTGTCGTTCTTGTGTGCGCGCTACTAACCCTGCGCACATCTTTTTTTACTCAAAGTCAGCTTTTAAATTCTTCTCGACACACATCCCTTCCCCTATCGTCTATTTCCCCCTTCCTCCTCGGCACCTTACGAATTCAACAGTCGAAGGGCGATTGCGCTCGGCACGGTCTCGTATCGACAACGACGGCATAATCGAGGCTTCGCGAAACAATCGAAGCCTTCAATCGAACCACTCCGGAATCGCCCCCCTCCCTTGCGCGCAGCCGCATGTGCCAACCGGTGGAGACGGCCGCCCACTGCCGGGACTGCGGCGTGCGAGCCTCCACGCGGTAGCGCCGGATGGGGCTGTTGTTGACGGCACCCTGCTTCCAGGACAACATGGCGCTCGTGTTGGTCACCTTCATGACGCGCACCGACGCTGGGGGCCCCGGCGGACCTGCACGCGGTGCCACGGGGGGCGGTGATAGGCGGGGGGGGGGGGGGGGTGATGCAAACACGCACGCATGTGAGTGGAAGACCACGCTACCCTCCTTACCTTGTGTGCCGTACACCGGCCTTTATAGGTGTTCGATTACAGTGCTTGGCCCAGCCGGAGCGTCTTATCAAGTCACGAGTGGGAGCACGCGCCGAGGCAGTGCGTGGTAGCAGCATCCAAAATCCGGCACCGACCCCTCGCGTTCCTCCTAGAACAGCTCCAAGCGAGCTCCCTGCCTAGGGGTCCCTCCTGCTTGTATACCCTGGAAAGGCGTTATTTGATTCTCAAGGCTTTTTAAGGGCGGTCCTGCCAAGTTCTTACGGTGGGCAGTGCTACGTTGCTGCTTCGTATCATCCCAACTGATTAATTTGCAGATAGGTTTTCAGCATGGGGACTTTTGCGTGGTTTTATTTTTTTGAGATGGGAGTAAACCTGAGAACCCGGAGAAAACCCGTGCAGAACAAGGAGCGAACGTACAAACTCCACACATAAAAGGTGCCTGAGGTGGGAATTGAGCCTAGGCCACCTTCTTGCTGCGGGGGGGGGGGGGGGGGGGGGAGGGGCACGAGTGTTACCATTGCGCTACCCTGTCCCCCAGTAAAGTTCAAAGTTCATTTCAAAGTTCATTTATTAGGTATAGCCCTGTGAGCCATTCGGCTCTTGAATCGGGTGCAACCGCAACAAACAAAAAAACATGAACAAGAAAACATCTTAAAGTGACTATGTGCAAACAGAAAATCCAAGAAAAGACAGCAAAATATTGCAGAAAAATCACCGTACACCAATCCTGTGCAAATATCCCAGTAAACGAGCATCTCAATAATAATAGCGTCGATCCTGGGCGCCCCATCGCACCTTTGACTCGGAGCGTGGCGCTGGCAGACACGCTGTCGATGGGCGTGCGTGCCGTGCAGGTGTAGCGCCCGCTGTCTGCCAGGCGCACCTTCACGATGGTGAGGTCCCCACTGTCCTCGCTCTGCCGCGTGACGGGGGGGGGGGGGGGGGTGAGACGAACAGGTTCCACTTAGGCACAACGGGGGGACGGTCTCTCTTCTCGTTCTCTCCCAATCGTCGTCAACACCCAGGCTTATGCCTCGTGCTGCAATGCCGAGCAGGACAGAACCGCGTGACCGAGTCGATGATGATGATGATGATGGCGGCGACTCGGCACGTAACGGCATCACGAGCCATAGATTGGTCAATAACACTCTGGTCTTAAATGGATACAATATATAAGAGGTGACATTTTGGGCAACTGCCCTTCTTCACAGTAGATACATTTTGTTCACGTGTTATGTAGGGCCATTGCCCGAAACGTCAAACGCACGCATCTCAGCGGGTTTCTCTCATCTCCTGGTTAAAAAGAGAGGAAAGTCTTCACCTGGCTCGCGATCCAGAACTTCTCGGCGTCGCGGCCGGGGTCGAGGGTTCGTCCGAGCGCCTCCCACGTGTAGGTGACGCTCATCCCCGCGGCGGCGCTCGCCTGGCAGGGCAGCAGCACGCTGTCGCTCACGTTCGCCGTCAAGTCAGTGGGCGGCCGCGACATCCACGTGGGCTCTGCGCGCGTGCATCGCATAGGCCGGGGAGAGGGGGGCAGTGAGGGGAGAGGTGCGGTGCTGGATAAAGCTAGTGCCGGGACCTGTAGCATCTGTTATAAAGGGAACCTAAATAAAAAAAAACACGTAAATATTTAAACACACATTTTTTTACTTGCACAGTATAGTAATTGTATTTTTTCATTTGCTATACAGCCAGATGATAGGACAAATCGCTAACCTTAAACACCCAGTCGTTCGTAAAAGTTGAAGGCGGTATAGTACTATAGTAATAGAGCAAGTGCAGAATCACTGAACCGGAATTGATAGCTTGAAAGCATTTAGCGCGGGGCCCTTGAAAGCGCGGGGCCCGTAGCATATATACAGTAGCTACTTTTGCTACTAGGATAATCCGGCACTGGAGAGGTGTGGAGATAACTCTTTGGTTCTTTCGGTAAAGTCACATAGGTATAAAATTAAATAAACGAAATTAAATCACGACGTTTCGATCGCAACACAAGTGACCCTGTATGACCTTCAATTACCAGCCGAGGCACACACACACACACATTGAAGCCTTTTCCAGTTGTGTGTGTGGCTCCAAACCGGGCAACTTCCATTGTTGTAGCAGGGTTGCCTGTTGGAGTTTGTTGCCTAACGTTTGTCGTGGATTCCCTCCGAGGAGGAGGCACCTTGGACGTGGAGCTGCAGGGTGAGGTTGGCGCGGCCGCGCGCGTTCTCCGCCACGCAGGTGTAGGCTCCCCCGTCGGCGTCCTCCGTCGCGTTGACAATGAGAAGGGAGCTGTCGCGCTCACGGACAAACACCCTGTTGTGCACACGCACACACACAGAGATATACATAAGCACGTAAAAAATATAACTATTTTTAATTCTCCATAATATCTTATACTCTTAGTTCTTTCGGTAAAGTCACGTAGGTAAAAAATGAAATAAAATAAATAAAATAAAATAATTTAATCACGACGTTTCGAAGGCAACACAAGTCTCCGTCATCAGGTGGGACCGTCACAGCCAGATTTACTGCACCATAATATCGTTTGTTTTTTGGGTTAGATAGCGTAAATATATAAATGTGTCGTTAAACCCGCCACCACCCGTCACACAAATAGAACATGCCAAAGTTACTAGTACAGCACACTGGTGTGTTGAAGAGCAAAGCCACAACATTTACACTCTGAGTACTGGTAAGGCCCACTGAGCTCGAGAGCTGTTTTTCAGAAGCGACCTGCCCACAAATGAAGGACCTGGAGGAAAATCCACGTGACCACGGGGAGAGCATGCAAACTCTAAATATATAGGCGTCAGGGTCGGGTGCGAACCCACATCCTCTTGCATAATAGGCGAGGGAGTTAACATCTCGCCACCGAGATACAGAGACATTCAAACGTACAAAGACAAAGATCCCCCCACATAATCCTAACAGACTTCGTTTCCTTAGTCGTGATGTTTACACACCGCACCAGGTACTCATTTAAGGCTAAATTGACCTAGGGGAGGCACAGAACCAGTTCAAATTTTCACCATTGTTGAGCGGGAATTGAACTCGGGCCACTTGGTTCGTAGTGCATAGCACTAACCACTGCACTACCACTCCCCACACACATACACACATATAAAGATACAAACGCGACAACAAAAATCATGGTGGTGGGGGTTGTGAATCATGAAATCTCGACTGAGCTGCAATAAACTGGGCTGCAGTCATTTCCAGTGTATCGCACCACACCAAACAACATCACACACCACACCGTTCTCACCGATCCACACACACTGCGTCACACTGCGTCACACCGTACCACATGCCACACCGGTGTCACTCATGTAGCCAGCTATGGCTGCAGGGTTTTGGTAGTACATGTTGTTTATGTCATTTATTGTGAAAATTCCGTCACAGTTCCTATGATCACTGTTTCATTGCTTTCATGGCTTTATTTTGGTAATTTCGAAAAGTGTATTGGTTTAGCCATGTTTGTTTGTTGTAGTACAGAGTTAGACTGATGGCCTTAATCTAAGTTGTCTTGTGGTTGTTGTTGTTTGACTTGCATCCCACTGGGATGTTTGCACACAGCGTTGGTGTACGGTGCTTTTTCTGCAATATTTTGCTGTCTTCTCTTGGATTTTCTGTTTGCACTCAGTCACATATTCACTTTAAGATGTTTTTGTTGTTCATGTTTTTGTTTTTTGTTGTTGCGGTTGCACCCGATTCGAGAGCCGAATGGCTCACAGGGCTATACCTAATAAATGAAACTTGAAAACCACACCAAAACCACTGCACTGCACGCCATGCCGGTCTCACAGAACCCACACACACACGCTGCAGCGCGTACCACAGCTGATCTCCCTGACCACACGGCACAACAGCGCACACCAGTCTCACCGCGAGGAGTTGAGAATGGGGGCACCGTGCCGCTCCCAGGAGATGGTGGCGTGGGGCGAGGCGCGAGGCCGGCAGAGCAGCGTCGCCGCACCGCCTCTCACCACGTGCGCGGTGCCGGGGTCCGGCGAGGAGCCGAAATGCGGCGCGTATTCTACGGCGGGCACACGGGGACATGCCGCTGGGGGTCGCTCGGAGAGACGGATAAAGTCTGGGGTCGTGTGGTTTGTTCTTTTCCAGGTTTTGACCGAAGTTCCCAACTTCGCGATTTTGTCGCTGCATCCCATGACTTTGTGACCATTAAAATTCATTCTTTAGAGTTTGCAAAGCGCCACAGTTTTCGTTCACTCGAGAGAGAGAGAGATGATTCTTCACCGCAGGAAAACCACAGGACAAGCGGGGAAGACAGCCAAAACTGGCACCAGAAATTGCCCAAGCCCTGTGGTGCTATATTGGGATGTTCATGATTCATCTGAACCACGCAGCCACATTGGCGTCATGCTGAATGCTAATCATGTATTTACAATGAAGAAAATCATGAAAGTGACTGGAGGAAACATGTTTTAGTCCACTAAAAAAATACATGGTCAATTTATAATTGAATTAATGCAATGTGTCGATATTATTGCAAACAAATACCTCCGTCCGTTTTGGTCAAACAATATTCCACCAATTATTTTGATTAATAATTTTTCATTTTGGGTTATATCGTGCCGGTATAATGTCGGAGTTTAACTGTGTCCTTCCACCACCCAACTGGCATACAAAGACGATCCAACCCAAAACAAACTAATTACGAATCACGTTGGTCACGAAGGCCTCTCGGTATTGTTAAACTGATTTTAACACGATGTATCGATACTCAGCGTGCGAAATAATCAATACAAATCTGTAAAATAATAGAACCCCACCCCCCCACGTGACACTAACTTCTGTCATTTTGGGTCAAATATGGGTGTTAAATTGCTTTAAAAAGTAATCTATTTTCATGTAATCATGCTGCTGAATATGCTGCATAGTTTATGTCGTACTTTTCACAATGGCATGCTTGCCGAATTCGTTTTTGTCACAATGTATTTTTTATGACTTTAAATAAACACCAGAGCCTCACTCATATGGCTCGAGTATGAACGTTCCTGACTAGTCACCCAGGGGCCTTGTGGCGCAACGGTAGCGCATCTGACTCCAGATCAGAAGGTTGCAATGGCATGCTTGCCGAATTCGTTTTTGTCACAATGTATTTTTTATGACTTTAAATAAACATCAGAGCCTCACCCATATGGCTAGAGTATGAACTTTTCTGACTAGTTACCCAGGGGCCTTGTGGCGCAACGGTAGCGCGTCTGACTCCAGATCAGAAGGTTTGCGTGTTCAAATCACGTCAGGGTCAAGTTAGTGAATACAATCTTTTAAAGTTATTTTTTTAATTTAACTAATAGATCAGGGAACAAACACCAAAGAGAGACCTGATATTGAATTTTTTTTTAAAGTTGGCTTTGACCAGAAAACTTTAATGCCAGCCAGTATGATGGCCAATAAGACGAAACTGAATTGCAGCCGAAGGAGAGAATGCATCCAAAGCGGGCGGTCACGGTGGAGATGGAGCAATGAGATCAGTCCGCGTGCATGCGTAAAAGCCTTAATCCAGCAACGGATTGATCATGGTTGATACCAAATGTGCCCTATGACTAGAATCCGATGTTGATGGCAGACAGCCCAAGACCTCGTGGCGCAACGGTAGCGCGTCTGACTCCAGATCAGAAGGTTGCGTGTTCAAATCACGTCGAGGTCATACCTGCATTTGCTTTTGTCAATGACATTGAGGAGGCAAAATAGAAATCGTACCCTGACGAAACGCGTTGCATCGAGCGTCAGTAAGAATCGGTCGTGTTCGATTTAGCCAAATGAAATGCAAATGTGGACACAGAACAGTAGTTTGTACAGTGTATATATTCTTCTTCTTGGTTCTTTCGGTAAAGTCACGTAGAAGGGAAATAATAAAATAATTCTCACGACGTTTCGGCCACAACGCAAGCAGCCGTCCTCAGGTGGAGAACAGGTCTGTCGGTCTTCCCGTCTTCCCGACAGACCTGTTCTCCACCTGAGGACGGCTGCTTGCATTGTGGCCGAAACGTCGTGAAAATTATTTTATTATGTTTTATATTTATTATATTATTATTTCCCTTCTACGTGACTTTACCGAAAGAACCAAGAAGATGAATCCATGCAGTCACGAAAGCTTTAAATAGAAAGTGTATATATTACCTACAATGCTCCACAATGCATTTTTGTATAGAGAATCGCTTTTCACGTTAAATAGAAAGCTCTTTAGTGCTGTTGTGGAGTGCACCTGCCCAATGAACGTCTGGCAAACCCAGCAGTATTTAACAGGCCAGACTGCTGATGAGACCTAGATGGTTCAAAACCTGATGCAGAGTTTTGCTTGCTTGAACAAGATGCTGCTTGATGTTGCTTTGGAAGTCCCAACAGGCTGATGGTGACTTTACAATAATGTATTTGCATGCGGAGACAGACACAAAGCGGATGTACGTTTTGTCGGAATTACCGAAAGTGTAAATTTCGTCAACCAGCACCGCACCAGTATGGTCAAGTATGGCCCAATAACCAAATACCCCCGTATAGCCTGAACAGACTGTTGGGGCAAGTGCTGTTAGCGAGCACCTGTGAAGGCCGGCACGGCACACGAGGGGGGTGGGTGGCCAACACCACGTCCGGCCGCCTTTGTCTCCCCAGTGGTGATGTTTACACAACGCACCAGGACTGGTTATAGATAATCGTTATCATGGCTTGGCCGTGAGCAGGAATCGAACTCAGGTCGCCGGGTTCGTAGCGCAGTGACTACTGCGCTACCGCTCCCCACAGTAACCCAAACTCCCGTGAGCCGCGAGGCGTGTGGAGCAAGGCCGTAGCCATGGCGTCAACATTGGGGGGGGACCAAATATTCCAGGGGGTCCGGGGGTCCCCCTCCCCAGAAAAAACTAATCTAAATTTGAAAACGAATTCCCTGCCTAAAATATTTAAAAATTCACTAACACATGGGATGGACTTTTTCTTTACTTTTTACAATAATGTCTAATAGTGTATTGTATTACATTGCTGTTTTTACTTTTTTCTTGTTTCACTGTATGTAATGGCAGAGATTAGGGATTAATAAAGTACAACCATAACCACACTCATATAAACAGAAATCTATTTCATAGCGATATATTGGGGGACAATTACTGCCTTGGTGTGGAGGCCCTCTATCCAGCAGTGGAGTAAGATGTACCAACTGTATATTGCCGAGCATTTTATGGGGGGGGGGGGGGGGAATGATCTCACAAAAGCGTACGTATGTTCTCATCTTAAAGGAATGTATATAGCGCCTTAAACAGGTGTGGTGCCACAACGACGGGGCCGCTCTGCCGAACCAGGGAGCCGCCCGGCTTCCCCCACCGCACTGCCCCCCATCACCCGCCCCACATAAGCACACACCCGCACGCACCCCCCCCCCCCCATAGAGCTGGAAGGGAAGGTCACCTGATCGACCGGTTTTTATCCGAGAGACCCTTATCGGGATTAATTCTCACGGTTTCCGGCGATCAGGGAATTGGATGACCTCCCCGTGCTACGTGGCACCGCGGCGCTGCGGCCGGCCTTAATATGGTAGGTCGTGGCGTGGGGCATTCGGCCACCGCGGTTGAGGCGCATTTCCCCCCACACACACTCCCACGGGTCGACGGGGCGAGCAGGGGAGGCACGGGACAGCATGAATAGCGGGGTCACAGGGGCTGTTGCGCATAGTCATGGAGGGTTGGGATAATTGCGCTTGAGCGCGCAAGCCCCATTGGTAGGAAGGGTAAGGGAGTAATTAGGATTTACGCCTTGCACGCAGCACACTGATTAGCATATCAACAGCGCCTGGGGACTGCGGTGCGCGGGCTTGGGGTGCACGAGCCCATTGTTCAGCGCAGCATCCCTTTGGGAGGTAGGGAGGATAAATAGAGGAGCGCAGAGGGGAAATCGCTCTCTTACTCCAGCGCCAGGCGACCAGACGCAGCTCGGGCCACCGACCCGGACGTCCGTGCGACGCACCGAGGCACGCGGTTAACACAAGGATCAGCGGACCGCCGTGGACACTTAACAGTGAGTAAGAAGGGGAATTAGAATCATAGCCGATAAATAGGGAATAGGTACAGGTTTAGTGGAATAGGCCAGCCTCGTCGACTCACTGATTCAACATCAATTCGCAGGTGGCATATAATAAATCATTAATAGCGAAGCGTGGTCTCGCGTGATCTTGTCGTGCAGTGTGAGCGTGTGGGTGCGCTGTGTGCACAGTGGTTCGCCACGTGAGTGAGCGCTGCGCGGAGCTGAGCGCGCGGGTTGCGTGTGGGAACGCGTGTGGTACTGTGTGTGCGTAAGCTCGCGGCGTGCGTAATAGGCGTACCCCAGGTGCGCGATCATAACGCAAGCGGCCAGCAGACGGCGAGCGCTGCGCAGAGCGGCGCAAGAGTGGGTGTCGCGTGTGTTCACTCCGTGTGTGATACAGGTGCGCGATCATAACTTGCGTAGTTGGTGTGGAGTTGGAGTGCACGGAGCGGCGTGTGTGTGTGTGCATACGTTCGTTACATGTCGGACACGGATGCGCATTGGTAACGTGCCGCACAGGGCTATACTGCGAGCACGGCGTTTGATTGACGATGATGTGCGCACGTATGCTCGCAGCGTGGGAGCGCGGCGCGAGGCTGTAACCGTAGTGGCGTCGCATTCGAATGCCGGCAAAACCGTAGCGAGTAATAGGGAGGTGGGGTAACTTAAACGGAATAGGGGATGCTGGCGGGAGGGACCCCGGGGGCCAACGGCCCCCACAAATTGGTGTCGGAAGCGGTACGGACCCCCGCGTTACCTCACGCTAAAATAAGACTAATATTTACCGGCCGGGGGGCCCCTTCGTGGAAGGCATTCGCCCGCAATCTCTTAGGGGCCAAGGAAATTAATGGATGGACGGACGCGCAGGCAGTACGTCAACTTAATATGAATCTTGATGGGCGGGCAGCCGATTTTGTAGAAGCGTTACCCGCGAGCGCACAGACACAGCTAGAGGAGCTGATGCGCCGACTCGATCAGCGGTTTGGCACGCGTGACGAGGAG